ATATTTTTATTACATCGAGGACATTTTTTCATGGGATGACATACAGATACCACTTTCATTATAATGGCTATGTATGTTTCATTGTATGACTATAACCTTTTTTATCCTATTTAATTATGAAGGACATTTATGTTTTCCCATTGTTTTCGCTGTTCTAAAAATACTGCATCCTTCAGCTTTACATACAAAAAAATACTGCTGTGCACATCTGTGTATACTTATCTTTGTCTATATATGTGAGTTTTTTCTGAAAGATATATTGCTGGAAGTGCAATTGCTGGGTCAAAGATTATGCACGTTGAAATTTTGATTCCAGATACTTTTCTAAAAGACTGTATGTATAAAAGATTATGTCTCTTTTCTCCCCCTTAACAGTGGTGGGAATGCTTCTTTTGTTGTCATAGGTTATTTTGATAGCTGTTATCTTATGTGATTATGTATTTTCTGGCTCTAAATAACTTATATCTCCCCCCTTTTCTTTTGTAGATATAGCAGTGATGTAACTTCTCTGCCTTTTTTGCTGGAAATCCTTACAGTGTTACCTGAAGAAGTACATAGTCGTTCCTTACGAATTGGAGCTAACCGGCGCACAGAAATTATAGAAGATTTGGCCTTCTACTCTAGTACAGTAGTATCTCTATTGGTAAGTTAGTTTGAAATGTTAAGTTGCTGCCCAGAGGCAGAAAGCCATGGTGGTTATTTTGTAATCCAATGGCATTATTATCCAATGCTTTCTTTGCAAAATTTTGCAATGTTGATACTTTGGCATTTATGTAACACTTTACAATTACAAAATACTTTCAGAACCTATACTTTTTGAGCTCCTATATAATCGTGTGAATGTGGCGTTACCTCTGTTTTATGAATGAGAAACAGGCTTTAGAGTTACATGACTGTTAATTCAGAATTTGAACTTAGGCCTTCTTTGGTTTTATATTCTGTGCCCTTCTACTTCATCCTACAAGCTGTCAGTGCTTAGTGAAGGACCATGCTAAGGGAAATGTGTATAAACTTACTTTACTAAGGAAAGGATCCTTCTCCTTTCTCTCTCTCTCTTTAATTGATATATAATTGTGCATATTTATAGGGTGCATGTGATATTTTGATATAAT